TGGATTTTCAGGGCTTGGGAGTAGGAGTTAGAAACCATGAATTTTCTTGAAAGCTGAAAGAGTTTGGCCCGGAAGTTGCAAAGGATGAAATGCTGGAATGTTGCATCTAGCCTTCTCATGGATCCATCTCTCCTGTGAACCAAACAGTATCATTATACTCCTTTATAAATCGATAGTGTCCATGCCTTGAATATTGTGCCCAGTTCTGATCTCCACACCTCAAAAGGATATGGAAGAACTAGAGACGGGCAATGAGTATGATTAGTAGTATAGAGGAGCTTCCATATGAGGAGAGACAAAAGAGGCTAGGCCTGTTCATTCTTGAAAAAATGCTTGAAGGGGAACATGATAGAGGTTTACAAAATACTAAATGGTGAAGAGAAAATAAATAGGGATTTATTATGTCCTACTGCTCACAATACAAGAACTAGGGGGTCACAAAATTAAACTAATCAGTAGTAGGTTTAAAACTAACAAAGTTCCTTTTCACACAGCATGTAATTAAAGTGTGGAACTCAATGCCACAGGATGGGGAAGGTCACAGTTTATCCAGATTCAAAAAGGGATTTGACAAATTCTTAGAGGAAAGGTGCACCAGTAACTATTGAGCATGGTAATTCGGGGTACAACCTCTGAATCAGAACTTACTAGACCATAAATATTGGAGCCTGCAAGTGTCAGAGGAACAGTGGAAGCAAGCCTAGTCATACCCAGTTCACTGTCCCTTTCTGCATCCATTCTCAGGCAAGATGGACCTATGGTCTGCCCCAGTAAATGGCGGTTCTTGGGCACATCTACACATCCATTAACGCACTTTTCCTAATGCACGTTAAATTTAGTACCTCTAATATGAGGTACTAAATTAATGTGCATTAGGCTGTGCTAGCACAAGCGCACACTTTTTAGGTGATGCTTAATGCATGGTAGCCTTTTTTACTGTGCATTAGTGTAATAGCACAGTTTTTTACACACCGCCTTAATGCACAGTAAAATAGGCTACTGTGCATTACAGCACATATGTAGACATGCTCCATGTGTTCTTGTGTTCTGTCAGCTGATGCTCCAAATTCTGTCAGTTCTGTAGTTATCCAGGAAGCCAAATGCACATTTTTGGGAGGAGGACAGGGGGAACACTAATGAGTTTTGTTTAAACAGCAGGAGAAAAACGCTTCTTTTGCTTTGCACTCTGATGTCAAACCTTTTAACAGTGCATGCGAGTCTAGGTTTTTTTTCTTGCACCCATAAGGGTTAGCAACTTTCTCTGGTAAAATTAAAGCATCTGGGGGATTTCCTCTCTAACCACCTGCCTGCAGGGACTGTGGCTTGAAAGAAATAAACTGTGAGAGGAAATAGCAAAAGCTGGCACCAGAATGTGTGGCTTTTGCTGTATACCATGTGCCAGCGATAACCTGGTATAGTTGTTAGATTTTGGGTATTTTCAGTTGAAGCCCATCAGCAAATCGTCTCATTTAGTCACAACAGCCAGGAGCATGGAGGGTAAAGAAGGATTTGGTTCAAGGAAAGCCCCTGTATTGTAAACAGGATAAAAGAGGAGGGGGATGGAAAGAGCCACTTATCACTGTCTAATGTGTCCCCAGGTCATTCCTGTGCTAGCACCTTGTGGGAAAAAAGGGATTTCATATTACAGGGCTCTTGTTAACTCTGAGGCCAAAGGTTGGGATTTTCTCCATCAAACAATCTACAGCCATAATGTACATTCAATAGAGCAGTTTGAACACCTCGGCAGTGCACCTCTGCACTGCAGTCTAGTCAAGGCTGTAGCTAAAAGTCATAATTGCACCGCAGCGAATCCTCACTCTTTGTTCAGTCTCCTTTTCTTGATGTCAGGCTGTTACCTGGTCCACAGTTAACAAGATAGACAGGGCTTGCTGTTGTCCTGCCCCACTAGGAATCTTTCTGAAAAGATGATCCTGTCATTCTGTTAGGATCAGGTCCTAATAATATCCCTCTTTGTTTAGACCATCACCCCCAACAGATACACAGAGATAAATAGGCGCACGTGCATGCACAGGTACACAGACGCACACACTGTCACTTCCCGGGCTTTCTAGTTGAATGTGCCTGCTTAATACTAATAACTGTGTAGCTTTGAAAGCAAAAGAGTGCTGAACCTGAGGGCATGCTGGAGGAATGAGACATTTAGATGAGTGCTTGATGGAGACTCCTGACTCAATCCAGCTGCAGGCCATGGGGCCTACATGTCCGAACTTTGACGGGCTCTCTGTTACATAAGCCAGACCTCACAGAGCGCCTCACAGTAATTTGGAAGCGTGCGGATGGGGGCAAAAGAGAGAAGATATGACAAGAGTGTCAGAGGCTCATCCATCAAGATCCTTCAAATTTGGTCAACATGCTGATCTCAAACCTGCCTGAGCAAGACTCTTTTCCAAGGCACCTCCTCCCCACTTCCCTGTGTTATAATTTTATCGGAGAGGCAGCCATGAACTGCAGCGTCCACTGGTTGAGAGGCAGCGCTGCCATCATGCATGTATCAGTGCCAGGTACAAAAAAACAAAAAAGAGCAATTCCTCTTGGTTAAAAGCCGTGCCGCAGCTGGCCACGTTGGGCAAGGCATAGTGCAGATGCTGCAGCACGAATGTCAGCAGAGAATAGTTACAGGGCAAGCAAGGAGCATTCCCTCCACTGAGCAGCAATGGTGCTAGAGCTATTTTCTCACTCTCAGGGGTGCAGGAGAAAGGGGCGGGATGTGGGCCTGTCTAAGGAGACAAAGGCTTGTGCAGCATCCCTTCAGCCCAGTGAGTTGCTTAGCTACATATTCCCCTCTCAAGCCTCTTTTCCTGCCATTACAGCAGAGTAACAGCAGCCAGGCAACATTGCTCAGTAATGCAGGACTAGGGGAGCCCTGTGCCTCTATTCTGCTGTTCACTTCTCAGTTAGCTTTTATAAGCCAAGTCAAAATAAACAGCCACTAGAGGGGGAGCCTTGCACCAGCTAAGGGAATGCTGTTAGGAAAGGTTGCTGCTTTCCTGAGCTGGGGGTGGGAATACTTTCACCCTGCAGGTCAGTGCAGAACTCTGCCCCATTTGGACTACATCAAGGCTTTGTTGCAAAGGCCCACAGCTTTCCAGTGAAAGGGAACTCCCTGCTGGTTCCTCCCCATGATA